TGCTTTGTGTGCACAGGGAAATTCCAGCATAACTCAATTAATCACCAAACCTACTTGATCAAATTAAGAGTTAATGATTAAAAATTAATTTTTTAATCGCGGTTACGATTAACTGTTTAGCCAGATTAAAATTAATCATGATTAACTGTAATCAGTTTGAATTTAATCGAATTAACTTATTATATCTAACATCAATCGATCAATGCCATCATTGATTTCACATACATATCACTATACCAAGTTTCAGTTCTGTCGCACAAATACTTCCAGAGATATGTATGAAATATGAAAATTCCAATTTGTATGGGAGGGACCTTGAGTTATCGGACTTACTTTCAATCTAAGACCATCCTTCCGAAATCCGTAGTAAGTGTACTAAATTTCGTTCTGATCGGAAAACCGGTTAAGGAAGTAGCCTATTTTTCAATCCAGGTCATAAACCATCTTTGAACAAAATTTCATTTTCAAACAGGTGGCAATTCTTAAAAAAGTTGCCTATTTTCCAGTCTAGGTCATAAGCAGGGAACGGATTTTATGGAAATTGCCTTTTTTTCTGCTAAAGAGATAGAGTATATTCGATTAAGAATGTCCACGATTTAGCTTTCCCTGATTCCATATATACACATTTGATGTTGCCTTTTTTTGCCTTTTTTAAGATATTTGCCTTTTTTTTGCCTTTTTTAAGATATTTGCCTTTTTTTTGCCTTTTCTAGCTTTGAAAAAGTGATTATATCATTTACATTTTTTTTTTTTTTAGATTAAAAAATATACACATACATGCCCATGCGGCTTATAGAAGCGCAGGGCCCTCTTGCCAAATTGGTGTTGAAAAAATTCAAAGCCGTTTTCTCAGCGAACGTAGGCTTGAAGACAATAAGGGGTGTGGATAAAATTGTAAAGGGCGAGGAAAACGCCCTTATTTCTGATAATATGAAGGTTTCAAACGTTCCATATTTAAATTGGGCTCCACTTGTATCAACTTACGTCGAGCGCACATTTAGTACATTCAAGGCTTTTCTTCGCGAAAATCGAATGAAAATGCTGCCCGAAAACTTCAAAATGCATCTTGTGGTTCAATGTTACTACAACTATACAGATTAAAGTTTTATGAGTTAGAGACTCGAAAGGATAAAATAGTCAAAGATTCAAAGTACAAATTTTTCATATAATGAAACTAGTTCATAGTTTTTCTCTTTTTACTTGTAATATAAACATTTCTAATAAAAATATATTTTTTGATTGTTCTTCGTATTTTCTGTCTTTTTTAGTGCCTTATTTTGCTTGCAAACTTTCATGCAAATCAGTTCAGTCATTTACGCATATTAATTTAATTAAACTTTCCTAATACGTGATAACTCTTAAAATAGTAGCCTATTTTCCAACATAGGTCATAAGCTATCTCTGTGCGAAATGTTAT